CAAGGGCAAGGGAGCAACAGGTTCACCCATAAATTTCTGCAAGTTAAATAAACAAACTAAAAGATAAAAATTAAATGCATAATGTAATACACAAAGGTCAAATTAATTGCAAGAGGATAAATAATCAAGAAGGCATTTATGATGCTGAGGTTTTTTAATTTAAGTACTGCAGCTTTTAAATATTCCCCACTTTAAATTAAAATGTACTCAACAAAAATTTAACCCTTGTACAATGGACAGGAACGAGCACATTCGTTTTGACAAGTTTATTTACGAAATCATGATTTTCTATTAATGGCAATGCTACAATTCAACAGCAATTCTTAGTACCTGAAACTATAAGGCATAGATATGTCTAGTGTCTTAAGAAAACAGTCAATATTAGCTTAATGGGTGCCTGAAAATTTGAGTCTTGCACCGTTACCGACCGATTTTGCTGGAAATTATACTAACTGTGCTGTATACAGTGCCCGAACATAAATAAAATATGAGAAGTAAAAATGTTACTACAACGATCTTTTGGAATTATTTGTTTTGGCACACATTTCTTACTCCAAGCAACCAAAGTGATTTGACAAAAGTGTATATGCCCCTCAGAGGAGTCACAGTTATTTGATTCCAAGCACTTGCCTATGTGTGGCTCTTGGGATAGTCTCAACTTCTTGTCTTATCTCAACCTGCCACCTACCAGATTCACTTTCACCTAGCATCATGGGCCATACCATACCAAATCTTAAAACTATGCACATAATTTTTATAATCATGGGGGAGCACTAAACCTGTAGGAATATACAGTGCATGTGGAGAGGGGGATAGAAGGTATTCAGGTTCAATTCAGGGAACTGGAACACAGATCCAATTCCCTAGATCAAGAGCCCCTCACTAGCATCAAGGAACCTCCCTTGAGGGGAAAACTATGTACAATCTGCGTACACCATTTTTTATCCAGGTCATTTCACTTCCCGATACCAAGACTGAAGAAATACTCCATGATATCCCTGTAACTTATCTCTGTCTAACTTCCAGCTGTCCTCAAGTACTTGTTTCCCCAGTCCTTCTGTCCTGGCTAAGATTCAATTCCATATCTCAAGAATTAATCTTGTTGCATACTTCTGCACGTTTTCCAGTTTCTTAACGTGCTTCCTCAGGTGTGTATTCCACACTGGGGCATTACATCAAGTTAAGAACTAAAAAAAAAAAAAAAAAAAGTAAGACTATGTTCCATTTATTTATCAGAAAAGCAATAAACCTTTAGTAGTCACATAGCACCTGGAGAATGGAGGCATTCAGGTTCAATCCAAGGAAAGGGAGGACAGGTCTAGCTCCATGAATCAAGATATTCTCACCAATATTCAGGCACACCTCCCTTGAGGAGAGGTTCCAGACTTCTTTGCAATCAAAACCAAAATTTTAAAATCTACCTTTGGTGACCATACAGTAGAAATCCATCACATACTCTCTATACACCAGATGCATAAATTCAAATGCATAAAAAACAATGCACTGGATAAAATAATTTGACTAAACAGCAATAAAAAAAACTGGGAATCTGTCCAAGAGGTCGAAAAGAAATACTGGCTGGCATTGTTGTGAATACAATCGTAACTTTAAAATCTACATTTCTTGGCCAAATTGTACCAAACCTCAAAAGCTCATCAAAGATAAATGGATTTGAGTAAAGGCTGAAAAAGACCATTAAATAAATGTACAGTGAACCTTCGGTTATTGGCCATAATCCGTTCCAGAAGGTCGGCTGATAACCGAAATGGCCAAAACCAAATTAATATTTCCCATAAGAATTAATGGAAATACAATTAATCCATTCCAGACAAAAATATTCGAAAAAAAAACAAAAAATTTAACAATTATGCAAGTTTTACATACCTTTATTGAAGGCTAATGCTGGCTTCTGGAAGATAGGGAAGAGGTGAGAGGGAGGAGTTAGTGTTTGGAAGAGGAATCCCCCTCCATAAAGACTTTAGGTAGCAATTGCCTTCTTTGTCTTTTAATGCTACTAGGACCAGCTTGAGTCACTGGACCCGTCTCACAACAAATCTGTCCATAGAGGTCTGTTTCTGGCATCTCTCTAAGATTTCCCTGAAGTAGGACAGGGTTTTGTCACTGAATACAATGTAGATATGGCTTGTTTCAGCTTGGTCAGGGTGGTGTTTCTCTGCAAAAGCTTGCACCCTAGTCCACATTCCACACACCTCTTTAATCTGTCATTTGCTGTTACAGTACATTCATTACTAACCTTAAAATATTTGTAGTCTTAATGTAGGGCAAGAGGTGAGTAGTATTTATTTGTAGGAAGTCAGTGTAGGTAGCAGTAGATGTAGGTACAGTACACGTATGTAGCCCATCCCCCAGGGCTACACTACACAGCTATAATACAATACACAGCCATATTATTACACTACACAGCCGTATTATTACCAAGTTTAATCGTTTCTAACAACTACCTTAGATGCCATCATAAACAAAAGGAGAAGTAATGAATAATTCATGCCAAGAATTTTAAACAAATGCATATGAAAAGCAGTTACTGCACCAGCCGCCAGATATCACAGTTTTCTCTAACGCTACATCAGAGAAAACGTAATGTTTACTCTCCATCCCACTCCCCAAACTCGATAATATATAAAACACTGCATGTTTATATGCTACATGATATGTAACATGTTTCTTATATAATTTTGAAGAAAATATCATAGATGGATTAATGAAAATGTCTATATTAACGTGAAATAAGACATTTAATGTGGCAAAGAGTGATTATTAAATATACATTGCATATAATAAACATTGCATGTTTATATGCTATGTAACATGTTTCTTACATAACTTTGAAGAAAGTATCATAGATGGATTAATG